TTTTCAAAAAGATAAAGCACGGTTTGTTAACTCTCTCTCTCTCTCTCTCTCTCTCTCTCTCTGAGATGATAAAAGCAAAAGACATTGAAAGATTCGTGCATGCTCCTCTTTTTTTTTTCTCTCTAGACACCTTTTGCTCAGGCCTTTATCTTGAGCTTAGCTGCTTCGTACTCTCATAGCACGCTTACTTGTGGCGAGAACCCTAGCCCCTTGGATGAGAAACCACCAGCTCTTTATGCCATCTTTATTTGGACAGGCAGTGATTTGTTAGGAAAAAAATAATTTATTTCCCCTCCATTTCATTGGGATCGAACCTGATTCTTCCTCTATCGAACAAACCAATCATTCAGTAAACTGTTAAGATGGCCTTTTTGCTGAAGTATCACTTGGTAGTGGCAAAAGGCAAAAACAGTCATACTAAATGCACAATTGAGCACTTCCTAATGATAAAGTGTCCAAACACAATTTTAGTGAGCAAGAGCTTATGTTAACAAGTCAGAACTTTTGTCTGCGTGAAGTTCTGGAACTGAAAATGGCAAGGAGGTTAAAAGGCAAGAAAGCAGATTATTCAAGTGCACATGTTAAAACAAGACAAACAAGATCTTTCCATAAGTCAAGGCACTAGCAGCAAGCTTTATCTATGCTGTTGCCCATCTGGCCATCACCCCTGCAAAGAAAACAAGTGAAACCTACCACTACTCCTTCCTCATCGGATGCCTGCAGCGGCAGCTGCAAAGGGGTTGGGTTGACACTCCCCAAGACATGCCAAATGACAGTCACACCAGGGGCCCTGTTTTTTTTAATGTCCCATCAGTCAGAACAAGACACTGCATCAAGTGAAAATAAACTGCTGTTCGTTGGTTGGTTTCTGGGCTGATAAGCCCGACTGCTGCTGGTTTGTTGTGAGAGAAAAACATTGTTGGCTGATTGATAAGCCCTGGCTGAAAAAAAAAACGGCTGAAAGACACGAATGATTGGCAAGCATGGTCGTTTTTGCCGTAGTTTACTGCTGCCAGTAGCCCAGTATAGATCCATAGTACAGGGCTAACCTTAATCAACTGCCCAGCGCTTGGGATACAGCAAGAATCTCAGCTTGCTCTTTTCATCAGTGCCATGTGGGGCCACCACCGGGGGAGGAAAAAAGGCAAGGAGAAATGGCACTATTGTACTGTACGTATTTGAGAATGAGAACAGCTGCTGCAAGTCTGGTCAATTGCTCATCCATTCAAGCATTGTACTCTCAGCCTTTTCGAAACAGCCTTTGCCATTCCCTGTTTGTTGTGAACATGAGAATGCTAGTGCAGTTCTTTTCAGCAACATTTATTTCTCCTTTAATTTACCAGTTATGAATTCACTTGCACTGCAAACTCCGAAAGAAACCAAAAGCTGACATGAAACTTTTATTTAAGGAAGAAATTGAGTACTAGCTTCCTCAGGAACCCAGGCTTTGCATTTGCTGATTTGCATGCTGCACCTGCATGGGTTTATGATACTGGTGCATTTTCTTTGTCTGAAAGGGTGCTATTACTACTTGCAAGAGCAAAATTCAGAGAAGGGAACCAGACAGTAAATGGGTGGATCTGCATGTTTCAGCTACTTGTTGTACTGATGTTGTTGCACTAGACAGCAACTGCAAGTGCCAAGTGCAAGGCCTTGTTTAGATGCAACCAAAATTCCAAGTTTTTTCACTCTCTCTCCATCACATCAATTTTTAGCCACTTGCATGGAGTATTAAATGTAGGTAAAAAAAATAACTAATTACACAGTTTAGTTGGAAATCACGAGATGAATCTTTTGAGCCTAGTTGGTCCACGATTGGACAATATTTGTCAAATAAAACGAAAGTGGTACTATTCATCGGGTTGAAATTTTTTCAGCATCTAAACGAGGCCCAAGATGGGATAATACAGCTCACTCACTAGTCACTACTAACTTCACTGGCAATTGGCAAAAGAGTCCAAGACTCATGGTACGGCCGCAAGGATCAAGATCCCAATGCTAGGTACTAGTACTGTACTGGTAAGTAGACTGGGATTTATCTACTCCGTTTCTGTTGCATGATCTGCATCTGCATCTGCATCTGTACGCAGTGACACATTTGCAGGATGCAGGGCAGTGTTTGGCTGACAGTTTTTCCATGCCTGGTGGTACGGTTAATGATGATGACCTACCTAAACCACCCTCTTAAACCAAATGACCTACCTGTTTGTCTGCACTGGAATAAAACTGTTCTTTCTGCAGCTCGTAATGACTCACTCTCGATGCAGATTCAGATTCCTACTACTCTTCCATCCAGGCTGCATTGAACGGTTACCATACGCAGGATGAAGCTGTTGCCTTCACCACCTCACATGATGTGCTGCCACTGAGGCATTCAACACTCCCTCCTTGCATCCAATTCCAAAAGCCTTTTTTGTTTGTTTGAGTGCAAAATGGCAAAGGCTTTTTTTTTGCAGTACAGAGAGACCAGAGAGAGAGAGAGAGAGGCCACATCAGCATCAGTTACTCTGCACAGCTACCTGCACCTTCCCTAAAGAAAATGACGGTCGAAGGAAGCCTAGCGTTGCTAGGAATTCCAGTGAGGTCGTTGGACGTTGGCAGATGCTATCGCCGTCAACATCTCGTGGATCTCGAGACGTGAGAGGATGAGAAAAAGTCTCTCGTTTCCAATCCTTTAGCAGCGCAGCCTGCAGGGAAGAAGCAGTAGCCCTAGTGCTGCTCTGGTCCCAGCCTATAAGAGCAAGTATAATAGCAAGTTTAGATAGCTAAGTTTTTAAGCCGGCTGAATTTGTGGAGGTATGTATGGAGCATTAAAAGAGTAAAAAAATAACTAATTAACGATGAGACGGAATTAGTCCATGATCGGACAAATAAATTTACAGTGATGTCCATGTGTTGTAAAAATTTGCAATCTAAACAAGGCCTAAGCCGGCTGAACGTGTGGAGGGGAGAAGAGAGGAGAACGAAGAAAAATGGGCCGTAAATTTACAGCCGGCTTAGATACAAGAACCGCAAAACTCTGTAAGAGAGACAATTGTGCCATGTATTAATAGTGAAGACCTAACTGCTATGAGTGGGCTAAGAAAAGACTGCAATGATCCTTACAACATTCGGCCATTATTTGGTTGGTTTCTAATTTGGTTTGCTTTTGCTTAGTGGTCTTTGGTTTATTGTGAGAAAAGACTGTTGTAAAGATGGTTTCAATCTTAAACAACAAAGCAAAAAAGGGTGATTATTAGCCTTGCTCTAAAAATCCTGGACCTGGATACAGTAGTAGTGTACGCCAAGAGTACAAGCAAGGACTTGACACTGCCTTATGGAAATGGTATTGCCAGATTCATCATCATCGTCAGAAAGTGCTTTCTTTGGCTGTAATTCTCCTAATTCTGATAAAAGTTCTGTTTTTCCATCAAAGTAATACTGTTAAGCAGGCCAAAAAATCCTGCTTTGCATCAGTTACTGCATTTCTTTCTAGTGTGAATGTGTGGTTCGTGGTGAGTGAAGTGGAATCTAGTAGTAGAACGTAAAATCTGCAGTGTGTGGTTTTATGGTACATAAATTGCAGGAAGCACAGTGAATGATCAGTTTCGCCCACACACACGCACACAAGCGCATTGATGGCCGTCGCAGCAGCAGCAATAGTGTCCCGTCTGATTTGCTGCACTCATGGACTGGCTGATCCACGATGCCGAATTGCCAATGCAGCAGCACGCCAGCACGGCACTAGTACATCGGACCGCGCTCCATGCCCCACCTGTCAGAGACGCTACCTAGACAGCGAAGCTGCCTTGAGGTAGTGATGGTCCCAAAGCCTGACGGGAGTGGCGAGCTGGTGACTTCGTGAGCCACTGCCCACTGCATGCATTTCTCTCATGCTCACTCATCGCCTTCATTGAGATGCCTTCCCTTTCCACGAAGAATCTGAGGATAATAAAAGTGATACGACACGATATCATCGAAGTCGCCTTCAGATTTAGGCTCCGTTCGGTTCGCTGAAAAACAAGCTGAAATATTATTCCGACTAATTTATTATGAGAGAAAAACACTGTTCCAATTGAAAAAAAAACAAACTGACGGATTATAAGAAAAGTAAACAAAACCTTAGCAGAAGTGAAAAAACACTGGCAATTTTGCTGGTCGCAGAGCTTCTGGATGGATGACTGCTGAAGCTCTCACTGACAGACTGACTGCCGTGTCGTGAAAGGAAGACTGTCGGGAAGAGTGTTTTTCTCTCACACCAAACCAGCCAGCAGTAAATAATCCACGATACGATACGGCCTAATTCTAAAGTTGCATCATGGCCTCTCAGCAGAGCCGGCCGCACGCCTGACGAGCTTGCATCTATCGTAGCAGCCATGACGGGAGGTCAGAAGCCGCGAAGTGCCCAACGAGTGCCCTCTGTTCTGGATCTGCATGCAGGTGCAGCGTGCCCGTGCAGACACAGTGCAATCATCGGGGCCAAAAGGACAGGGTACAGCGATCACCAAAAAAAAAGTTCAGAGAGCGTCAAGCCGCATGCAAGTTGCAGCAGCCAACGCAGCACGACAGCTTCTGCATGCGTCAATTGAGGAGTTTTGTCCAGATACTATTCGTCCAAAAAAAAAAAAAGTTTTATCTATGTGAGCTGCACTGCATCCTCCTTATAATCTCCTTATTGAACATCATGTCAGGACAGACCAGACATTGTTGACGCAAAGGGTTTCAGATTCAGAAAAACTGCGTCCAGTGAAACGAAGCATGTTGCCCATGTTGCATAACTCATCAGGGGATTATGAACGCGCAGCAACACATGTTTAAGCCCTACTTTAGTATGGACACATCAATTCAATTCAACCTAAAGGCATGTACATATCTCATAAGGTAGCCGAAGGAATGGCACGAGCGCCGCGCAGAGCAGCTACGCCCAGCCAGCAGCCACCCCTGATGCCGCCACCGCCATGGCATTGCCGAACTAACAAGAAGGGGGGTCTCAGCATGCCCCCGGAGGCAGGCAGGCTGCATCAACAGGGGAAGAGGATTGGGGACCCGTCGCGGCGCAGCCGGTTCTCGGTGAGGTCCACCTTGCTCATCTTCTCCTCGCACCACAGCAGCTGCTCCTTGCTCAGCTTCCCCATCCGAAGCACCCACGACACGACCTTGATGTCGATCAGGGCGAACAGCAGCTGGACCTCCTCCATTGTGCCTGGCCAGGTCTTGCTCTTCCACCCTTTCTTCTTCTTCAACAGCTCCTTCACCTTCGCCTCTTTCTGCAGTTTTTGAAGCAATTACCGTGATTCAAGGAAGAGTATATACAACACAAAAGTCTGCTTTGGAGATGTTGTTATGCAGTAAAGACATTTGCAAGGTATGCTGACTCAACCACTGTGAACGGAATCAAATGCTAGGAAAGATGTGTCCTACTACTAGCTGTTTAGAAGGGACCATATGGACAGTACAGAAATGAACGATTGTATAAACACATTATGAATGAGATTCATTATAGTTACCCCACAGGACAAGACTTACCTTATCGAGTGAAGATTGCACTTGTTGAATTGAGCTTCCAGTGTGGCCATGAGCACTCATAAGGACACTACTCTTTCTCTTGTCCTTCTTCAGGAAAAGGCGGAAAGTTAGGATAGATTCCTCTAACAATTTGATGAGATCAGGTGCGGAAATCGCTGGCTCCATTTGATCTTCAGTGTTATCTTTCCTATCTGCAACTGAATTGAGAGAACAGAAATGATAAGCAGAATAGTATTATCAAACATTACCGAGCATGAATCGTTCAGGTATGCAATACAAACAACTGACCAGATATGTACACTAAAAACAGACATTAGCATGCTGTGAATCTACAAACCTAGTAAAAGACAGGAAGTTTACTCCATACTCATACAAAAGAGTAACTAAACAATTTGTGACAAAATGAAACAAAGAAACAACAGTGTTTACTGTGCTACTGTACTCAAAAATTATTTGCTTACTGTAGAATAAACTACAATCTAATGCATGATTCTGTACGGCATTATAAGTACCCGGCATTAAACATGTTGCAGCAGTAACTGGAAAGAACTCATCAGTAATAGTCAACCATTATGGAAGCACAGAGACTCAACAAACCAACTGTAGTTACGAACTTCAGAATCTATATCTGTACCAAGTCTTACTAACAGTACAGGTGCTGGCCAGAAAAAAAAAATTACCAACAATTATAGTTCAGGAAATTCCTGTGCATGGCATACTTATCCATATTAAATTTGCAGAAAAAAAGCTCTAGATCTAACGTCTAACGTGTACCAATTTAGTTGTAGACTTATTAACCTTAATTGTAGCAATAATGAAACAAGCATCTCTTAGTTCCAAACAATTTTTAAAAAAAAAAAATGCAGGAGAGCTGTGTTTCATTGTATTAAAGAGAAAGGGTGGTCCTCAACAGGATCCTCACTCATATGGGGACCAAATATGAGTGAGGCAATTACACAGACTCAAAACTCTCGCACATAGCTAACACACACAACTCAACTGCCCTAGATTGCAATAGTAAGTCCTAACCCCTGCAGTTTCTTCGCACCAGCCATGCACCATAAGCCGTGCTCATCCTTCAGCTTACACAAAATCATGTTAACCGAAGGAGAAGCCCCCTCAAACACACAAGCATTTCTATGTTTCCAAATAGTCCAGGCACCGAGAATAATTAGTGTTCACTCCTTTTTTGTGCTCCTTTTTGATTCTCATCGTCTTGTGCCACCAATCTGCAAAGCTCCTTTCATTTTGTTGGGGGACTAAATCTGTTAGCTCCAACGGATGGAGCAATCTGAACCACACTTGTCTTGCCACCACGCACATCGTTAATAGGTGTTGTATCGTCTCATCTTCTTGATCACATAGAGGGCATTAGCCAGATGAGAGAGGCCCCTCTTAGCAAGCCTATCTTCTGTCCAACATCTTAGTTCCAAACATACATACTCAAGTTACCATCTTCCTAAAAGAGATCGAATAATGGTACAAAACTAACCACTGACAATATTTTCCCCACTGTTAGATGAACATGGAATAGAAAAGAACCCATATTCAACACACTACATCGCTGCTCAATGCTCATTAATATTGCCAATGTACAGCAGACTGAATTGGATTGTACCACATGCTATACTGTACAGACCATTCAGTAATCAGTAACTAAACCTATTTATTGTACTACTAGGCTAGTACAGGACATAAATTATGAATAACCAAAGGTGTAATCTGCATTACACTAAACGTGACCAAAAGAAAATGCCCCTCATGTATAGGCAATATCAGCACAGCTATTTTTCCTCAGCATCATGATTCTAAACCATTTCTACAAGACTGTACAGGATTGAAAATCAATTTTACACCATTATCAAAGAGGTTGAACTACTGGAACCATTTTTTCATGTAAACAGACACGATTAACTTTAAGTGCCAAGCAAACAGGGACTATCTGGCATAACTAGCGAACAGTAAGCATTCGAGAGATACAATCCAAGATATCCCATAATGGAATAATCCAAGACTAAGAGAAACAGTTCTACATAAAATTAATTGAAAATCATTAGCCATTTGCTAAATGCCTGAACCACACCAGCTGTCATTTTGATCTCGAATGCATGGTTCACATCTTTGTTTGATTTTAAATTAATAATAATGACAACATAGGTCTATAGAACTATAACCAACACTAAAGTTCAGTGTACATTCTACAGCCCACAGGAACACATTTTGATGGTATAGGCTACATTTATGTTAAAAAATGCAGCAACATAACCCAAAGAATCTTACCTTGAAAAGTGGGGACCTGAAGCAACTTTGACAACAAGCTCCGAGACCGTGCATATATCTCAACCCGGGTACCATGCTCAAATGACTCATTTTCAATGAATCTCTGCAACAGGACCTGGAATTGCTGGAATGCTTGAGCAGCAGAGCAGTAGGTTGTAGGATTATCAGGTTGTGCTGCAACGATAAGGCTCAGGTGCACATAGGTGCAATGCAGAGCCTCCCAGCTTAATGAAACATGAGCAACATATGCAGTCTCAAGTGTCTGATAAGGATCATCTTCGCTTTGCTGTTGTTGAAGTTGTTCACAATCCTCCGGGAGCTCATCTTTTCTTTTGAATGAGAGGCTGCGCAGGGTAGATGCCAATTTTGATGCTGATCTTGGAGACTTTTTGGACATGTTCATTGACTCTACAAAGGTTTTTTCTGAACCATCAGACTTGCTAAAAGTATGCAGAAGGCATTATTTAAATATTTCAGAAGTCATTGGCACTCTAGCAAACAGCAGCAAAATGACAATGTCAAATCCATTAAGCAATAGTAAACACAGAAGAGCAATTATACTGCTAGAGAGGAGACTGAATCCTGAATCCTAAAGGTAGTCAATAACATGTGCTGAAGAGAAACATTAAACAGAAAAAAAAATGGCTGACTCAATGAGATACAAATACCACTTGAACTGCACTGGTACATGGGCACCGAAGTCAGCAAAAATTTTAGGATTCCAGTATCTGGGTAACGCTAAGCAGAAGATGACAACAGTGGTTGATTGTTTTTTTGTTCTTGCCCTTTTGGGTGATGTGTCTGATGCTACGGTTTCATTTTAAAAGAAAGAAAACGGTTTCAGAAAGAACAGTAGCAATAATTGTGGGCATACCAAATGAGGCATGCAACTACCACAGAACACTTGTATTCATTAAGCCTCTTTACATAGTTTAAAATGCTAACAAGGCACCATGTTGAATATAATCTATTAACACTAGAATAGCAACAATTGGACCTTGATAACTAAGAAGCATCCAAGACAAACATGGCTAATTTTATAGCATCAGACTAGATACATGCATAATCGCACGCGCACAAAAAAAAAGCTATGTACACGCACCACATTACAACCAACTGCATCTGAGAAGCTAAAGCCAAGCATATAGGAGAACATCCACAGTCAGCTACATCTTTTTACCTGGATCCTTCATGAGCTGTGCGATCATCTTATGAAACACCAGCATCCTCTCGCAGTACTTATCATACAGCAAATCGAACCCACAAAGCGGGAAGCCGTCACCGACACCCGACTCCAGCCACTCCCTGGGGCTGCCCCCTTCCTCCTCCCCGCCATCCTCCTCGAGCTCACCGCACTCCTCCTCGGGGATGAGCACCATGAAGCTGTTCTTCCTGAGCTCCTTGAGCCTCCGCTTCACCTCATTCGTGATGAAATCGTCGTCATCCTCTTCCTCCTCCTCTTCTTCAACTACCCCATTGCCCGCGCCCACGCCTGGACCCTCCGCCGCCACTGCCGCCTCAGCATTGTTCCCCTCCCCGATGTCCGGCTTCTGCTCCTCCAGGCCTCGAGGGTCACATCGCCAGCGCTGGCCTCGTCGTCAGATTCCACTACCTCTCCCCCACCCCCGGCGCTCTTCTTCCCCTTCCCGAACTTCTTAATCTTGAAGAAATCCATCAGCACGGAGTTGCCCGAGGCTATAAACCCCGAATGCTCAGACAGACCCACTTAAAAAGATCCCTCCTTTTTTCTTTTCGCCGATCCTTGATCCCAAAGTCGGCCAAGCAACTTTGTTTTCCTTTTCCTGCAAACAGCACAGGAATCAGGGAGCAGACGGATAAAAGACGGGCAGGCAGCCAGAGGTGACTCCCCTCAAATGAACATCTAAAAGAAACCCTAAGAAATCGCGGGCCGAAATAATACCTCAGGAGAAGCGACTAACCAGACGCCCGCCGCAGCTCGAATGCGGGATCAATCCAGCCCGACGCCCCGCAAGATCCACCGAATCCGAGCCCGCCCCGGCTCTTCCCCGCCGGGCGGAACTCCCTCCACGGGGGAAGCCGGTTCACGGCTGCGACGGCGAGGCGGCGGCGGCGACCAGCATCTCCGTGGATCGTGAGGCCCCGCTCCCGGAGTGGTCGGCGCTGCGCTGCTGGTTTCGTCGTGGCCTGGAGACGGGGTTTTAGAACGGTCGGAGTCGGGGTCTGCTCCTGGCGGCTCGGTCGCCGACTCTGGCCCGTTCGCCTCGTCGGTGTGGCCGTGTGGGAGCTGGATGCTGGAATCCAATCTTCTCAACCGCGGGCTCGAGGGTTTAAGCGGGGGCTCGACTGCCGCTTTGGGCTGTGGTTAGCGGCGGTGATTGTGATTAGCGGGTGGTCAAAAGATGGAAGCACAGAGAGCACGAGGAGCGTGAGGGGGAGTGTGGAGTGCATCGGAGACCGCGCGTAGAGTACGACGCCTGTCGCGGTCACTGGTCGCCCCGCAGTGGGGGGCCCGCTGCATGGGTGGGCTCTGGCTCGGGTATCCCAGCAGGGGAACTGGGCCGCATCGGAGGTAACGAGGCCCAGATAGACAAACAGAAGGGGCCAATGAAGGCTCGGTAAGCATCGGATGCTCCGCGGGCCGCGGCGACAAGATTTCAGTTTTTTTATGACGACGAAGATTCAGTACTTCAATCGAGCACGCATCACCATTATTACTCGTAAACATGTACTCCTATTTTCCTACTATAAGCTAGTACTCTCTTTGTCCCAAAAAATACAATTTCGCTTTCCAACATGCTAAATAAATTCAAATTTATACAAGTTTTTGCTATAAAATATATTTTTATAGTAAACCATTTTAGAAATATAAAAATTGATAATATTTTTCTATAAACTTAGTCAAATTTTTAAAAATTTAACGTGTCTCAAACCTACAATTACATTCTTTTAGGATAGAGGGAGCATGTGCTTGAGGGTGGGATGGCTGTAAATCAAAACCAAATGCCGGTTAAGTAGAGTTGTATGGTAGTTGCACGATACCAAGACTTGAACTAGAAGGTTGGAATGGCTACAGAACTCTTTTGGGCATAATGAACACTTGAAATACCCTTTGAGTTTGGTTGATACTTACCACATCCCAAAAACATAAGGACTTGTGGGGATATGAGTGTCCTGCAACCCCTAGAAATTAAATCAACATCGAGTATCTTAGGGAATGTCTCACTCCAAGAAATGTGGGTTTATGTTGATGCTTATACTTATTGTTATGAGAGAAAAATATTGTTCGTTCACTTGAAAAAAGTCTGCTGAATTAGTTCAAGCGAACAGGCCAAGTAGCCAAATAGGACAACTATACATGAGCTGATTATGAGTTAATATTAGCCCATGTGCCTGCTATAGCGAGATGGGCTAATTTTTAGCCCAGTGTTCTAAACACACCCTTAGTTATTTATAGCACGGGTTAGCCCAACAATTAGCCACAAATTAAGCCAGTTAGGAGTGGGCCAAGCCAAGCCCAACAATTTATAGCACGGGTTAGCCCAACAATTGATGCATATATTGTCTTAGATTTTTAGAAGCGCTTACATTTTGGGATGGAAAGAGTAATGGTTTTTTGTTTAAATTGATGGGTTCAAAACTCATACCGGTACGTGGGATCAAAACATTACAATTACTCCATAAAATCATTAAGTTTCCATGTGTTCACCAAGAATATACACAAAAAGATTTTTTTATTAAATGCCAAGTAATTATAAAACACAATTAAGTCGGTCCATTTTTATTAGAGATGTTATTATTAGCTTATCACTTTTATGTTTTTCTATTCCCGTGTCATGATTCCTGCGTTCAAACCCGCCGTCTTCCTACGAAGAAAAAGAAGTGCTAGTCGCAGCATGTAAAGCAACGCACTCCCAGTCCGAGTAGAGACTTTGAGATATGAAAAGCAGCAGGAGGCGGTGTCGGCCGGGCCATCGTCACAGCACAAAAAGGTCCAAAAGTTTTGGTGGTCAACGCGTACGATGGACACGTGGGATCCTTCGTCACCGTCCGAAGTGAAAGTGCCATGCGCTCGCTCCGTCTCTCCCCAAGACCCTAAGTCCTCCACGCTTTTGACCTCAAATGAATTACTGTATAATTATTTCTCTCATCTGGAAAAACCACGCTTTAATTCGAGGTTCGTTTCTCTTAAATTTATCTTGGTTAAACAAGTATAAAATATCGAATTTTATCTTTTCTCTTGAAACAATCTATGGAATAGCTTTTTATTCCACGTTTTTGGCGAAGTAAAAGCCAGGAGTTGTCACTTTGTCAAAGCTTCACTTTGTATCCCAGTTTCATGTCGCATCTACAGTATGTAATACTCCGTATATGCTTTCTAGATACTCAAATTCAAGTGTTTTTGGTCTAAGACAAAGGCCGATCGATCGTGTTAAGTCCGCACGCCTTTTGACCTCAAATGAATTATCTTATTTTCTCTCTTTTTATCTCTGCCCCACTCTTTAAACTGAAGTTTTTTTTATAATTTATCTTTTATACTTATTTTTATTATGCATAGCATATGATGGGATAAAACAAATCAAAAAATAGTGCTCTGTTATCCACAAGCACTATACGCCAAACAATTAGTTGTCACTTAGACAAGCTTACTTTGTATCCCAGAAAAGATCGCAAGAATGAATACTCCGTATATGCTTTCTAGATACTCAAATTCAAGTGTTTTTGGTCTAAGACAAAGGCCGATCGATCGTGTTATTACGCACGCCTAACTACAACTCTAACTATGACTTTATCTTATTTTTCTCAGTTTTTTTACTCTGCCCCACTCTTTTAAACCGAAGTTTTTTTGTGTTTATCCCATTATACTTAGCATTATTATGCATAGCATATGATGGGATAAATACAAAGAAAAAACTCAGCTCTGTTATCCACAAGCACTATACGCCAAACAATTACATGGCGCGGTAGACTAGTTCTACGGAAAGAAAGAAAAGATAGGAAGAAGGAGGCTTACGGATGTGTCAAGCGGGGGTGATTGGGTGAAAAACGACAAGGGTTGATAGTGGAGTATCATCTTCTTCTTTTTTAATCATTTTTTTTTTTTTTTTGCTTTGCTTTTCTGACGTTGTTTAGTCTTGACGACTCTACGGAATGAACCGAAGGCCAATACTAATTTTGACCCCCAAAAAGTAGGGGGCAAAATCATATAAAAATTGAACAAAATTAGCAAAACCTGCCGAAAAGTGAGAGTATTAAAAATCAATTGCCAAAGAGTGGGAGCAGAGAGAGATAGCGCACAAACATCCTCGGCGTACGAAATTCAAGTGCAAAACCACGTGGATTGAGGGCGTGTTTAAATCCATTGCGTAAAGCGTTTGGGTGTCACATCGGTGTCATACGGAGGTGTTTGGATACTCCGTCAGTAATCCGCGAGATGAATTTATTAAATATAATTAATTCATTATTAGCACATGTGTTATTATAGCACCACATTATCAAAACATGGACTAATTAGGTTTAAAAGATTTATCTCGTAAATTAGTCGTAAACTGTGTAATCGGTTATTTTTTAGTTTATATTTAATACTTTATACATGTGTCTAAATATTCGATGGTATAAGGAGTAAATTTTAGAGAAGAAAAGGCACCGCTGAACCACTGCTCCCCAACTACCCCGATCCTCTCTTCAGCCTCTGAGGGACCCACCGCCGTACGATCAACATCAAATGGTAATGTTATTACGCCAAGAGCTTAGCTGCTTATTAGGCCTGGTGCCAGCTCACTCGCTCCCTCCTGCCCAAAATACTACAATTCATCTAGGATGGAATGGTATAATAAGTCTATAATTTAAGAATCTTTACGTTTACTCATCTCTGCTAACCTAATAATTCATCTAGGATGGAATGGTATAATAAATCTATAATTTAAGTATCTTTACATTTACTCATCTCTACACTAAAAAAATACGTAAGATGTCGTTTGCCGCCTCGCTTGTCGCCCCCCCTGCTCAGCTTGTCCCCCAATTTTTTCGACTCGCTCCTTAGTGGCGGACCTAGCACTAGGGCCACTAGGGCTATGGCCCTAGTCTTAGCCCTTAATTACAGTGGATAAATTTTCATTTTCCTATAGTCAAGCATAATTAGCATTGATGTTGAGTGTAATGACCCTAGTCTTTGGCCAATCTTGGGTCCGTCCCTGTTGCTCCTCCAAATCAGAATCGGATATCAAATCAAATCAAATTGTTCTAAATCTTAATAGAAAAAAGAAAATATCAAACCAATTCAAATGAAATCGGAAAAAATACAAGTCAAATACGCTGGGCATCGTCGTACAGCCCCGGCCTGCATAGCTCGCCCTAGGATTTTCTCCCTCGCTCCTCCAAATCAGAATCGGATATCAAATCAAATCAAATCAAATCGTTCTAAATCCAAATCGGAAAAAAGAAAATATCAAACCAAATCAAATGAAATCTGAAAAAAATACAAGTCAGCGGTGGTGCTTGGTGGTGCCGAGGAGGCTGAGGTCTCTGCCTGATGCCAACAATGGCCTGTTGTTGCAGTTGAACTCAACCTCGCGTCGCATGCACGAGGGCTCGTGGACCGCTAGGCTTGGGTCCAGCGCCACTGTGAAAATAATAAGAGCAGGTCGATAACACTCCAATTTGACTGTCAGCCATATGCAAGCGAAAGAGGAGAGATAAAGCTATGCTTAGCGCTGGTTTCATCGATCAACTCATCATGCATGCCAAGACGCTTCCTCTGCGCAGGTTAACTCTTCTCTTCCTATCCTTGCATATTGAATGGAAAACAATATTTACACTACAAATATAGACTAATTGTTGTATGTGTTAGACTCTAAACTTGTCTATTGATGATTTTGTTGGGCTTATAGACAAGTTTTATTGGGCTTGCTCTAAAACCCACTCTCGCACATGACCCGATCTGGTCCCAAACTCAAGACCCGTGGGGCAAAAGAAAATACACCCTTGTAGGATTGAGAAAACCCATGTAGTACTTAGCAAATAATTGTGCCTTGTTGTTATCAGTGTGAAGCGAAACTATTTTGTATGGTTGGAGGAAGGTGGAGACAACTTTATATTTTCTATATAATTAGATTTATAGATTTCTTAATATGTTTATCTAAGCTATAACTCATGTGTGTCCATATAGTTGTACGTAAAAATCCGTGATCCTCCGTGCAACACACGGGTATATATCTAGTGAATACATAAAATATTTATATTTATAGGTAATATAGGTCGGGTATGATGAAATATATTAAGAAACACGATACCATAACATATAGTTTTCATTTATAAGATGGTATTCCTTTACAAATATTGATAACCAACTACTCAAATTGCAAACCATGTCGATCTCCGGATGGAGTAATATTCTTGACCGAAAGTGTTATTTGTTACCTCCTCTAGCCACAGGTAAACAGATACTACTCCATAAACGGGAAGGCATCTTCACTTGTCTATACCAACCTAGGCGAACTACATCCTAAAATATATAGCGTTTAGAATAGAAATATTAAAAAATTGTAACCAAATATAAGAGATTTTGGTGCATAATAAATAGTATTTAAATAGTACACTGTTTTTATTTGCCATTTATTAAGCAGCACCTATTTAACCACACGAGGATGATTTTTGGTCACATCAGACGTTCGGATGTTAATTAGGATGACTAAACAAAAATTATAAAATAAGATATGAAGACTAATTTGCTTTTGTAAGCATAATTTCATGATTTGACAATTTTACTGATAAAAATATGTGCTAATGATGTATCAGGCACAGATCTCGTAAATTAGGGCATCTGTAATTGTTCTCGTCCTCCTACTTTGGAAACGGTTGACATAGACTAAAAATTAGTCCTAGGAACCAAACACCCCCTTAACCACAGGATGATGGTCTATACGTATAGAAAAAATGAATAAGGTATACGTCTTTTGTATTTTCTTTTACCCAAATGCGGCATGCACACATTCTCGGGGCATCCGATGTTCTCCGGCTTTGGGGTTTGGGCTGTCCTGATGTGCAGGTGAGTGGTAGAACGGTGGAAATAACTCACCTGTTGTCGTTGCCGCCAGAGAAAGAAGAAGGCCACGACGTTAGAGTTTGGGTTTTCGGGGTTTTCCATGTTCTTCGGGCTTAGAAGGAAGTTTCTGAGGAGGATGACTAGATCGGCGGCGATGGTGGTCAGAGACAGGGGGCGCCGCCTGCCGAGCAATTGGAAAGGGCCGATTGGGTGGTGTCGGCGATGAAGGTGATGACCAGAGAAGAAGAAGAAGAAGAAGAAGAAGAAGAAGATCATGGGATTAGCGTGGCAGTGGTGGAGGGTGGCGGCGGAGGCAGCGACGTAGCGCTAGAGGCTAGGGAGGGGGTGGATGCGGGAGCCTAGGAGGGGGCTCTTGCACCAGATCTAAAGCATAGGACTGATGTTAGCGTGGTGGTGGTGGAGGGTGGCAGGGTGCCGCTGGAGCAGGTGAGGAGCCCGGGAGGGGGGGTTGAGAAAAGAGGTGAGTGGGCAGAGTTATCTGTAACTGCACACGCGGACGGTAATAAAGTCATTTTTTTTAATCTATATATAACTATTTTAGGATAGATGGAGCAAGCAGTCTATCAAATGGATCCGAAGAATACACAAGTCAACTACGAATGCTTCGTAAAGCAACAGGTTGAGTTATTTTGGAACAGTCTATTCGCTTGTTGGTTTCAGCCAGGGCTTATCAGCCAACCAATAGTATTTTCCTCTCACAACAAACCAACACAAGCTGAACTTATCAGCCCAGAAACCAACCAACAAAAATGCTCGAAGTCGGAAACGATGCAAAATGGAGGAGGAAATCTTTGCATTTGTCCTGAGAAGCAGACAGAAAATCTTTGCATGGACGGCTGCAACTCCATACCCAAACCAACCAACCAACCAACCAACCAGCCAAAAAGTCAACGCATGCCATTTGGAAACA